TAAATTTGGCTACTCTAGTTACCTCATCTAGGTGGAATCATGCAGTATCTGTCTTTCTGTGACTGGCTCCTTTCACTTGGTATAATGTCCTCAAGGTTCATCCAGCTTACAGCATATGTCAGAATTTCCTTCCTCTTTGAGGCTGAGTAATATTCCACTGTAGGGATACACCACATTTTGTTCATCCATTCATCCATCAATGGATACTTGGGTTGCTTCACTTTCGGCTATTGTGAATAACGTTGCTATGAACATGCGTGTAGACACATCTCCTTGAGACCGTGCTTTCAATTCTTTCGGTTCTGTACCCAAAAGTGGAATTGCTGGATCATATGGTAATTCTATTTTTAACTTTTTGAGGAACCACCACACTGCTTTCCACAGCAGCTGTACCATTGTGCATTTCTACCAGAAATGTATGAGTGTTCCAGTTTCTCCACATCCTCAACTGCACTTGTTATTTTCCTTTTCAAAATTATGATAGCCATCCTAATAGGGTGAGTTTGGATGTTTTAAGACTGCCATCTGATTTGGAAAATGTAACTCTATCAGCTGTGGCAGAGGTACTGAAAGTGGCCTTGGTTGGTGGCAGGAATTGAAGAGGTCCCTGCAGGAGAGGGTCACAAACCAGCCGGTGCCGGAGAACCCGAAAAAGCCAGCGAGAGCCATGGCTGCCCAGATGAGGGAAGTACAATGGAGCCACACCCAGAAAACTGTGCTTTGCTGGGGCTGCTTTCTACCACAAGTACGTAGAGAAAAGGCCAGCAGAGTGCAAAGAGGAACCAAAGTTATTAAAAGAATGGAGGAATTGGTCCACAGCAAAGACTGAAGCTCCGAGGGACAGTTCGGGTCATCAGTGTCTGCTGCTTACAATGACAGGATGAGCAAAACCAGCAAGGGAATTCTTTTTTGAAGAAAAGGATATTTTAAGTAGGGTAAATATGTCAGCAATATTGCAGACACTTAAAAAGGAGGATCTGGGTTCATTATTAGATGAAAAATATTAAGATAAAGCTATACAAAATGAGGAATAGTTTTACCAGAAAGTGAGGAGGTGCTATTTTTGGAAATCCCTCTGCTGAAAGCAGCTTGTCTTATTGGAGGGAAAGTTCACTCTTTCTACAGATCAATCAAGTAACAGAACAGTGTTCAGTCTCTGGCTTCTTTGATATATTTTTTTAAAACTTTGTCATTCAAAGAGAATATTTCCCTATTCCCAACTGATTTCAGGAAACCTTCAAAATTCAAATTCAGCGTGTCTGAAATCAAACTCATACTCTTCCTGCCCTCCCACCTCACGTCTTTAAGAAATCCCCCTGTCCCCCGTGGCTTGCCCTGCCGAGGTGCGTGGCTGCCAGGCCGCCCCCGATGCCCTCTGAAATCGCCTTCGCTTCTCTTCGTCTTCACTCACCCAGTCTATGGTTTCTTCTTCTGAACTGCTTTCTGAATCTGCCTCCTCCCTTCATTCTCCGCCTCCCCAGATCGGATCCTCGCCCCAGCCTTGCCTGTATAGCAGCAACTTCCTCACCCACGGAGACTCCCTTTCAGCTTCCATCCTCGCCGCCTCTCCAGCCCCGCACCCACCTCCAGCTCTCCCAGGCCCAAGCCTACCCACTGCCCTTGCTCCACAGCTGGTCAAGCCCCAGAGCCATCCAGGACTCCTGGTTTCTGGAAGAACAGTCTGAAAACCTGAAAATGGCCTTCAAGGCGAGTTGACCTCCATCCCGTGAACAAACGCTGCTTCCAGAACTCACCATACGTGTTTTGAAAAGAATATGTTATTGGCAAAACAATATTAAAATAGCATCAAAAATTCAAGGCAAAAACTCCCCACAATCGCGTCAGCTATTTAAATCAACACTTCTGTACATCCACGGCGTCCATACGCTCAGTCCACATTTACAGATTTGCACTAATAGCGAGAGAATTCTATGTCTTTCTTTTTTACTTAACATGATATCATGAATAATTTTGCACTTTGCTACAATATGTTTCTAATCTCCCCTCTGACTTTTGCCATTGCAAGCAGTGCTAAAATGCCATCTTGGGGTAAATGCACTCATAGGCTGGTAATTTTTAGTGTATCTATAAGATAGATCCCCAACAGTGTCATTTCTGGGTCAAGGGGAACAAGTATTTTAATTTGGACCTGGCTAGATTATTTTCCCAAAACATTGCTGCAATTCATATTTCTACCAACAATGTACAAGAGTGTCTTATTTTACGTATCTTTACGAGCCACTCTTTCATTTTTGCCAACGTGATGAATTTTTTAAAAAAAAGAAAAGTACTTCAGTTTCTTCACATATTTATTGGCTCTTTGAGTTTCTCTTCCTGTGAAAAATCTGCTAAATCCCTTCCCATTTTTCTATTGGATTGTTTGTGTTTTTCTTTCTCAGTGGGGAATTTTTGTGTATTGAGGATTTTAACCTTTCATCTGCCGTGTTTGCAAATACTTTCCCATCAGAGATTTTCTGCCCTCTTTAGTGCTGAGCCTGAAAACTAAATACTCTTCTTCATGTCACAGGAGAATGCATCCAATTTGCTGCCTCCTTGGGCACCTTGCATCATTGTGCATCTCCTCCTCAACTGATTAATTCCCTGAAAATGGAACGATGGCTAAGTGTCTTTGCTGGTGTGAAAGGCTAGAAATGAAAGGCCAGAGTCCCTGAAAGAATGAAGGTGTGCAGGGTGGGGCTGGAGAATGGCATAAGATGTAATTAAAGAGCAGGAGCTGGATCATGCAGGCCTTGTAAGATTTACTTTAAGTGCAAAGGGAAGGTATGATCTGGATTATGTTTTTGAAAGGATGCCTATAGCTGCTGGATGCAAAATGCCTTGTAAGGGAGCAGGATTGGAAGCAAGGAGTCCAATTAGGACAATATTATTGTGGTCTGGGTGAGAAACAGTGATGTTTGGACTAAGGTACTGGCTGAAGGTACAAGGAGAGGTTGATAGATAAATTTTGAGCCATAATGAAGGGTTAACACAGCCAACAGATTATGCTGAGAAGTTCGACACGGAGCAGTGAGAGAGAAAGAGATGTAGAGATTGACTCCTGGGATCCGGCTTAAATAAGCGGACAGGAGGAGCAGACTGGGAAGGGAGTTCAGAGGGAAAACAAGATTCAGTCTTAGACTTGTCCACTCTGAGATACCTGTGAAACAACCAGATGGAGAGGCGAGATGTTAGAGGATGGATCTCAGACTTGGCATCTGGGTTAGAGACACGAATTTGGAACTAAACAGCAAATAGACGGCATTTAACACCAGGGGAGAGGATGAGATCCCCCAGGAAAAGAGCTTAGTGAGAGAAGAGAAGATGGCTGAGGCCTGAACCTGAGAGACGAGGAGGCGATCAAGGAGACTGAGAAGCAGCAGATTGAAGAGAGGAAAGTCTTCCAACAAGGAGAGAGCGTGAAACGCTCCTGAGGAGGAAAATGAGGTGAGACTGAGGGGTGACTGCTGAATCTGGGAGCCTGGTAGGCGCCTTCCCAAGAGCTGTTTCAGTATTATGCTCGGGGCGTGGGAAGTAGACTGGACTGAGTTGGAAAATTAATGAAAGGCGAGAAAGTGAAGATGGTGTATGGTGACAACTCTGTCAAGAAACTTCTAGATGAATAAAGAGTTGAGAAATAGGGAAGTGGGTGGAAAGGGTGTGGAGTCAAGAGAGAGATGCTTTGTTTTCTTAAGTGGGGGACGCTGGAGCATGGCTGGATGCTGATGGGGTGGGGCCCTGAGAAGGTGAGAGGAATGGGTGCAGAGCATGAGGGAAAGGCTTGACCTGGGGCAGAGGGAGGTCACCTCCTTTGTCACATTAGAAGGGACAACGGAGGAGATGGGTGCAGATGTAGGAGGCCTGTAGATTCTGTGGTAGGAAGGTGAGAGGGGTCTCGTCTGGTGAGAGCAGAGTTGCGGTGCCAGCAAAGTTAAGAGGCAGGAAGGGAAGCTGGAGGGGAACAGAGAGAGAGAAATACTTACAGTGGGAGAAAGAAAAGGATCTTTAGATTACTAAGAAGAGTGAAGGCAAAGCCCATCTCCTGAACCTGCAGAGTACTGAAAATAGAGAGAAAATCCTCCAAGACAGAGAGAGAGATTGAGAGAGAACCAGATTACCCACAGTGGAATGCTAGTCACATTAGCATTGTTTCTCTCACTGGCAACACTGGATGCTACAAGATAATGGGACACCATACGGATAGTTCTAAAGAAATTTAATTTTTGAACCCAGAACTCTATACCCAGTCAGAGTAGCCTTCAAATAGAACGCACAAAATAAAAACATTGTCAGTCATCCAAAGATACATAAAGTTTACACTCACAGACATCCCTGAATAATTTACCAGAAGATGAATTCTGGCAAGTCAGAAAATGAATCCACAAGAAAGACACATGATGCTAAAAACGGTGACAAGCAAAGAAATGGGGTTAGAGGGTGCCTTTATAATGAAGTATAAATAATTACTGGCTATTTTTTTTGAAGGCAGTCTGAAACTCAAGTTCAAATGATGTAAACATGAGAGATGGTGGGAGAGAGAGGGAGGAAGGAAATGAAAGCCCAGTAAGTTCTTCGTCTTATTCAGGGGAGGAAATAGGTACTGATTACTTCTAGATATTGATACAAAAATGCACGTTAAAAATGTGATCATAATCCTGGAAGAACAGATGATGTGTAAATTCTATATATTCTAATTCCCACAGGGAAAAGAATGGAGCAAAGAGAAACCTATTAATTCAAAGAAAGTAATAGACTTAAAAAATTTTAAAAAGAAAGACAAGAAAAAAGAAATAATTCTATTCAGAAATGGAAATATAAAATCCAAAAGAAGATGGTATAAATAGTTCTAAACATATTTCATTGAGGAAAGTGGAAGAATGAGTTACTAGAAAAACATAATAAAATTTCTGAGCAAAGTTGTCTCCCCTTTTCCATCCCAGTTGGAAGGCGTGGAGGAACACTATAAAACTATCTTTATCAATAAATAGACTAGTTACTATGACTGCGTAATAAATCACCCCAAGACTTAGTGGTGTAAAACAACTCTTTGTGGAGTCTATGGAGCAGGAGTTGGGACAGGATACAGTGGAGATGGCCAGTCTTTGCTCCCGGTGTTGGGGCCTCAGTTGGAGGGCTCAAGAGCTGGGTCCCTCACACGTCTGGCAGCTGGTGCTGGCTGTTGACTGGGGGCTTTGACTCGTTTCTTCTCCATGTGGGCCTCTCCATGTGGACTGAGGCTGGGCCTCTACGCGTGGCCTGGGCTTCCTCACAACATGGCTGGGTGCCAAGGGAAAGCATCCCAACAGAAAAAGAGCCAAGTGCAAGCTGGACATCACACACCGTCCCTTCTTTCTGCTTGTTAGAGGTGAGACACTAAGGCCAACGCCTGTTCCAGGGGAGGAGAATCAGGCTCCACCTTTTGTGAGAGAAGGGTCAAAGAATTTGCGGACATGTTTTAAAACCACCATAATAACCAAGTGGGATTCTTTATGATAAAATTAAAAATGTGCTATATAAACAAACTTTAAAATTTTAATTCTATAGCAAAACGTGATAACCAACTAAACAAAGATGATATACAGCTATACAGAGAGACCTTTAAACAAAATTAGTCTCAGTAATTTGTCATTAACAAACTCTTTAAGTTTTGAAAGTTCCCTTCATTCCAGCTCTCAGATCAGGCAAATCTGTCAGAACTACCATCAAGAAAATCTAGCTATTTGCTATTTACAGAAGACATAGGCAAAACAAAATCCAAGGATAAATCAAAGGGATAAAAATTGTTTTTAAAGGGATGTAAAGAAACATACCAGATATCCTAAGAAACATAACTCAGGGTGAAAACCTTAGGGAATTTCAAATTCATTAATGATATAGGTAATCAAGAAAATAGAAGTTAAAGCAACAATGAAATGGCAAACACACAAAATGTGAAAGCCCTAATGATGTCCATTCTTTGCATGGATGTAGGGAAAAGTATTCACTGTTGGTGGGTATGTGAAGTTGTACAGCGTTTTTAGAGGACAATTTGCAGTATCCGTCAAATTGTAAATCCACACCCTTTGACTCATCAACTCCACTATTAAGTATTCAGCCTACAAACATCTTTACTAACGTGATACTATGTAAATTCTACGCAGTATTTTTTAAAAGGAAGATCTATACCCAACGATATGGAAGGATTTCCAAAACAATGTTAAACGAAAAAAGCAAGCAGCACAACAATACATACAGCGTGAACCCTCTTACTTTTTAAATTGCAGAACTAGATTACGTATCTACATCCTGTTCGTGTTCATACGTATGCAAAGACGAAGAAAAATGTGAAGAAAGATTTGCTTTCAACTGAAAACTGGAACTTCCTCTCAGGACTGCTGTAGGATTAGAAGTTCGGGATAAGGAGGTAATTTACAATTTTTTCCTCTACATCTTGTTATATTTTGGATTTCCTAAAAGTAAAATATACATAGATTAGCTATATAATTTTTAAAATTAAAAATAAAGTGAACTTTTTTGTTGTTTTGTAATTTTATTCTTATCTGCTTTATTGAGACATAATTCCTGTACCATACAATTCATTCATTTAAAGTGTACAATGTAATGATTTTTGGTATATTCATAGAGTTGTACAACCATCACCACAATCAATGTGGGAACATTTTCTTCACCCTCAAAAAAAGCCATGTGCCTTTAGCTACCACCCCCTCCCACCCTCCCTGTCCTAGGCAACCACAAATCCACTTTTTGTCTCCATAGAATTGCCTATTCTGGACACTTCATGTAAATGGAATCATATAGTATGTCATCTTTTGTAACTGGCTTCTTTCGCTTAGCAAAATGTTTTCAACGTTCATCTGTATTGTAGCATGTCTCAATACTTCATTCCTTTTTATGGCCAAATAATATTTCATTGTATGGATATACCACGTTTTGTTTATCCATTCAGTAGGAGGTGGGCATTTAGGTTGGTTCTACCTTTTGGTTACTATAAACCTGCTATGAAAATTCATGTACAAGTTTTTGTGTGGACATAGGTTTTCATTTCTCTTGGGTATATACCAAAGTTTGGAATTGCTGGGTCAAATGGTAGACCTACGTTTAACTTTTTGAAGAACTGCCAGGCTGTTTTCCGAATCAGCTACACCGTTTCACATTCCCACTCACAGTGTATGAGTGTTCCATTCTCCGCATCCTCACCAACATTTACTGTCTGTCTTTTCGATTACAGCCATTTTAGAGAGTGTGAGGTGGTATCTCGTTGAGCTTTTGATTTGTGTTTCTCTGATAACTAATGATCTTGAGCATCTTTTCATGTATTTATTGGCTACTTGTATATCTTCTTTGGAGAAATATTTGTTCAGATCCTTAGCCCATTTTTAATTGGATTAATTTTATTGTTGAGTTGTGAGAGTTCTTTCTATATTCTAGAAACAAGTCCCTTATCAGATATATGATTTGCCCGTATTTTCTCCCATTGTGTAGGTGGTCTTTTCACTTTCTTAATGGTGTTCTTTGAAGCGCTAAAGTTTTTAATTTTGATCAAGTCAAATTTATCAATTTTTTCTTTTGTTGGTTGTGCTTTTGGTGCCGTATCTTAGAAATCATTGTCTAATCCAAGGTAACGAAAATTGTCCAATATGTTTTCTTCTAAGAGTTTTACAGTTTTTACATTTAGGTATTTGATTCATTTTGAGTTAGTATTTGTATATAGTGTGAAATAGGGGTCCAACTTCATTCTTTCACATATTCCAGTTGCCCCAGCACAATTTTTTGAAGAGACTATTCTTTCCCCTACTGAAGACTTGACACCCTTGTCAAAAAATTGACTTGCCATACATATATGGGTTTATTTCTGGGCTCTCAATTCCATTCTATTGACTTACGTCTATCCTTACACCAGCATCACACACTGTCTCAGTTACTTTTGCTTTGTAATAAGTTTTGAAATCACAGAGTGTAAGTCTTCCAAACATTGTTGTTCTTTTCAAGATTGTTTTGGCTCTTCTGCGTTCCTTGAGTTTATATGAATTTTAGGATCAGCATGTCAGTTCCTACAAAGAAGCCAGTTGAGATTCTGATAGGGATGGCATTGAACAAAACAAACTTTTAAAATGGTAGCTATTGTTATGTTGTTATTATTATTTTATGGGAATGAAGTAGCATTCACCAAGTGGTTTCACAACATTCAACTTCAAGAGTCAATAGATGTCAGTGTGTGTCATCATCTGGATCCAGAATTGCCAAATTCTTAGTATATTGCTTCCTATGGAACTTTCAAAATCATGCTCTCTTCTCCATCTCGGTTCTTCTCTTCCAGTTCAGGCCTCCAGCCTTTCTAATCTGCTTTACTGAAGCATCTTCCAGGAATCACTGCCTTTGATCTGGTCACCTCTAAACCATCCTCCAACGTGAAGTTAGGATCATCTCTCTAAAGCCCAAACATGATCCTGTCTGCTCCTTTTGAAAAACACTTCAATGACATTGATGGCCATCAAGATAAAGTTCAAATTTCTTAGTATACTTATAAGGCTCTTCTAACTCTGATTTCTACTCACCTGTTGCTTATCTCCCATCCCTCCTCAGTAATAGCAACCCAATTCTGCATTTCAAGTGCACCAAAAATCTGCAGTCACAGAACATACCAGGCATCTTTATGCCTCCCTGCACTGGCACACATGTGACTTTAGTCTGGAATGCCTTCCCTTCTCATCTCTCTGGAAAACTCTAACTTATCTTTCAGAACTTAGCTCAAATATCATTTCCACTCTTTTGTTGTTGATGATGATGACAGAACAGGCATTTGGTATTAAACTTGAATCCAGAAGAAGTATATAAAATTGAAATAAAAAGTAAATCCTCTCCAACTCGCAACCTTCAGTCACACTCTTTTGTTCTATCAATTTTTGCTTTAGTATTTTGAGGCTCTGTTATTAGGTGCATACACACTTGTGATTATCATATCTTCATAATGTGTTGACTTTTTATCGTTATGAAACATCCCCTTTTCTGGTAATACTCTTTGCCTTGAATAGTATTTTATTGATATTTTCACAGCCATTCTAGCCTTCTTATGCTTAAGGTTTACATGGTATGTCTTTTCCCATCCATTGACTTTCAACCTATATGAGTCTTTATATTCAAAGTACATTTCTTATAGACAGCATATAATTGGGCCTTGCACTTTTATCCATTCTGGCAACTTCTGCCTTTTAGTTAGAATGTTAGTCCTTTTTATTTAATATACTTATTTATATAGTTAGATTTAAGCTTATAATTTTATTTGTTTTCTGTTTGTCCCTTCTGTTTTTTCTTTTGTTTCTCTTTCTTCCTTTTGATTAACTGATATGTTTTAAAATTCCATTTTAACTTGTCTATTGGTTTTGTAGCTATATCTCTTTGCCTTATTTTTTGGTTGTTGCTCTAGGATTACAATATATATCCTTAATTTTTCAGTCTGCTACAAGTTTCTATTACAGCACTTCACGTAAAATGTAGAAAGCTTGCAACAATATCGGTCCATTTATGACCCGTTCTTCATGTTATAGTTAATATTACATTCACATACATTATAAACTCCATCATTCTATGTTATAATTTTTTTGCTTAACAATTATTTAACAATTGCTTGAGAGTTATTTGTATTTTACAGAAATTAAGAAGACGAAAACAGTCTTTGATAGTTATCCACATATTTACCATTTCCGATGATCTTCATTCCATCCATAGGCCTAAGTTTTCATCTGGTGTCGTTTCCTTTCAGTCTGAAGAACTTCCTTTAGCATTTTTTGTAATGCAGATCTGCTGCTGACAAATTCTCTTAGCTTTTCTTTAATCCAAAAAAAGATCTTTCTTCCACCTTTATTCTTGAAGGATATGTTCACTAGATACAGAATTCTGAGTAGATAGATATTTTTCTCCCAGCTCTTTAAAGATGTTGTTCCACTGTCTTCCCGCCTCCTTTGTTTCTGATAGAAGTTCCAGGTCGTTAGAATCTTTGTTTCCCTATATGCAGTGTGTCATTTTATTTGACTACTTTCAAGATTTTTTTCAATCTAGTTTTCAGCAATTTAACTATAATGTCCCTATAATGTTATTGTTGTTGTTGTCTTCAAAATCCTGCCTGGGAGCTCCTTGAGCTTTTTGAATCTGTAAATTTATGCCTTTACCAAATTTAGCCATTTCTTCAAACAACTTCTCCAAACATTTTCTATCCCATTTTTTCTCTCCTCTCCTTCTAAGACTCAAATTACATGTATGTTAAGCCTTTTGATATTGTCCCACAGGTCGTTGAGGCACTGCACATTTTTTTCAGTCTTTTTTTTTTTAATGTGTATTGTTCTTCAGAATGGATAATTTCTATTGATCTAACTTTAATTTCACTGAATCTTTCTTCTGTCATTTCTCTTCTGCTCCTAAGTGAATTTTTAGATTACTAATATTGAAATTTTCATTTCTAATATTGACTTTTTCATTTTTAGAATTTCTATTTGATTATTATAATTTCTATTCTGCTGAGGTTTTCTATCGTTTTATTTATGGCAAACGTATTTTCTTTACATCCTTGGGTGTAGTTATAACAGCCACTTTAAAATTCTTGTCTGTTATTCCAGCATCTGAATCATCTTTAAAGTTGGTCTCCATTGGCTGTCTTTTTTCTTAGAATGGGCAATGTTTTCCTGCTTTTTTGCATGTCAGGGAATTTTGGTTTTATCCTGGACATTATGAATGGTACATTGCCGCGAGTCTCTGGATTCTGTTACGTTCCTCTAAAGAAAATTGATTTAGATTTTAACCTGAAGTTAACTTGACTGAATTCACCCTGAAAACTTTGTCTCCACTGTGGTGAGTGGCAGCTGAAATTTAGGTTCAATTCTTTTTCCTCAGCTGGCTTCTTCGTGTCTGTCCCATGCATGTGCAGTTCAGAGGTCAACCAGAGATGTGACGTGGGCAGAGTTTATGCACAGAATTTGGGCTCTCCCTCTCCTTTCTTGGATCCCCCCCCCCCCCACCACCACTTTCCAGTGAATGTGGCTGCCCTGAACTGTGTCCCCTGGTTCATCAAGCCAATAACATTGCAAGTTTTTATACCAGAATTTTAGTTCCCCTACGTGCACAGACAGAATCTTGCCTTCAGAGTAAATTCTAGTTAAAAAGAAAGAAACTCACTCTGTGATGTCCTTTTCTTCCAAGTGTCAACTTCCCTCCAGTATCTGCCTGCTTTTTTTCATTCTCCAGTATCTTCAGGTAGTTGATTTCTAGATTTCGTTGGGAGTTTACAGTTGGATGTATCATTGGATTTTTGCTGATTGATTCTAAAGAAGTCTATGGCCAGAAAAAAAAAAATGGCTAGGAAACATTGATCTCTTTGTTAAAGGGATTTTTACTTTTACCCCACATAATAAGGAATTTTCTGACTCCCCACATTAATCTTGTTTCATTTCCTCACTGGCGAGCTAATCCTGAACGTTCATCTAAGCATTATTAATTGGTTGTTTTATTTAATCCTCACAACTCCTCTATGGGGAAGACGGCTTTATTATCCCTGTTTTACAGATGAGAAAACTGAGCAAGAGAGGTTAAACCACTTATCCAAGTCAGTGTGCATGAGAGGCATTCAGACCAGCTGCTCCCTCCCCAGTCCATTTTCCTTCTTCATCTGGCTGTGAGACACGGCTTGCAAAGAGGGCAAGGTACCAGGAACAAGGCCACAGCCGGAGGGAGAAGATGGAAGGAGTCCTCTGTGACTTTATTCTTGGCCCAGTCTTCGTTAGTCATCCAAGTCAGGGGCTTATCCCAGCTGGGCATAACCAACAGAGTCCACTCTAACTAGCTGAAGAGAATGAGGTTGAAGAAGGGTTCAGAGGATGTCAGGGAGTTGGTAACATCTCCAGGGGGGCCAGAGGCTCCAGTGCAATGGGGGTGGCCACACAATGCCCACGGCACCCCAGACACTGGCTGCCTCTTGGCTGCCACCCCAGAGTGAAGTCAAGCGACAGCCGCTCCTTTGCAGCTCACACGCACGCCTCAATGGCCCTCGGCAGTGTGTGTGTTGTCAGATCCCTCCTCACGTGCCTCCTCCCCGCTGTGTGGGAGGCTCTGAGGGAGCATTTCTGGCTTCTGCATGGGGAGGTGGGACATTGCCCGACATTGGAAGGGTTTTCAAATGGTGCTGGGCAACGAAAGAATTCAATCAACGCGCACATTCCATGTCAGTGAGCCATTGGGCAGATCCCGCGTGACCTGCTTTTCTTATAATAATTTCTTCCAGTAGGAGGCCAGAACAACCCCTTCCTATGCTGCCTGACTTTGAGTTTCCCTCGTTTAGACAAAAGCCAAACTCTGTAAGCAGACAGTTTTATAGGGGCATGACTCATGCTGGTTTTCCTTTAACTGCTATTGCACCTTGACTGTGATAAAATGACTGCATCTGGAATGTAAGCTAGATTTTCTAATCAATTATAATAAACACTGGATTCTAAAGACATACTTGTTGAAACTCCATTTGTTCAGTGTTACCCTCAATTGTTGGCCAAGTACACGAGGATTTGCAACAGCGCCCCCCTGGCACCCAGGACGCTGCATTGGGATCTGGGCCGTGGGGGGTTATCTAGCCAAAAGGGAGTGTCCGGACAGCTCAATGGATTGTGTGCTTTCCAAGTGACCTTTGGAAAATTGACTGAAAAGGTAGAAGCAAAACCAGTTGGAGGGATGGGGAGGGATAACCCTGCCCCACCCGCAGTCCCTGACCTGCTAAATCACTAAGGACAGGAAACTCAATTCCGTATTGGGGGAAACGTGCTCACGTCGTATAAGAGAGTGTTACTGTAACTGAACGGTTTATAGATCTTCTTGGGGACAACAATGAAAATAAAATACTCTTTGGGCTTTTATGGTCGTTGAATTCTCTCCAGCTATATAAGAACTAAACTAACCCCCTTCTCATTCTCCCAAGGCTAGTGTTTTCAGAGCATACTCAGCAATTATGTTTTGGAATTTGGGGAGCAATCTCAATTCCTTATTATTTAATTATTGTTTAATTCTTTAACATGTCTTTGTGCGTGTGTGTGAGGAAGATTGTCACTGAGTTAACGTCTGTGCCAATCTTCCTTCTTTCGCACGTGGATGCCGCCATAGCACGGCTTAATGAGCGGGGTAGGTCTGTTCCCAGGATCCGAGCCCTTGAACTTCTGGCCACTGAAGTGGAAGATGTGAACATAACCACTATGCCACCAGGCTGGCCCCTTTTTTATATGTCTTAATGTATAATAAAAATTTCTCACCCATTTGCAAATCCCTTTGTAATTTCTCTGCTTGTGTGTCCTTCCTGAGATGTTCTAGAAAACGATAAGCCTATATTTAGACCTCCTCTTCTTTTTACACTAAGGGAACCTATTCTATGCATTTTCTGTGTTATGTGTATACATATGTACATATTCATGTACATATGTGTATTTCATATGTGTATTTTATATATACATATAAATGAATATATCAGCAGAGCTCTTTCCACATATTTCATACAGATTTTCTTCCTCCTCTTTTTTTTTGAGGAAGTTTAGCCCTGCTAACATCTACTGCCAATCCTCCTCTTTTTGCTGAGGGAGACTGGCCCTGAGCTAACATCCATGCCCATCTTCCTCTATTTTATATGTGGGACGCTGCCACAGCATGGCTCATCAAGCAGTGCATACGTCCACAACTGGGATCTGAACCAGTGAACCCTGGGCTGCCGAAGCGGAACATACGAACTTAACTGCTGCACCACGGGGCCAGTCCCTTCTTCCTCCTTTTTAACAGAGATGCAGAGGATTATTAACCAGCTAAACCATGGTTATTTAACCAGTCTTCTATTAATAGACAGGTATTTAGTTGTTTCCAGTCTTCCGCAATTATAAATAATGTTTTGGTCAATCTCCATGTATGTACCCCTTTGTGCACGTAGGAGAGTCTGTGGGATTAAATTTCTACCAGTAGAACTGCCAGGTGAAAGGCAGAGATGATGCTTTCAAATCAGGCACATATTATTAAACTGTGGTATCGTTACATAATCCTACTGCTCTGCCCTACCCATTTCCCACTACAGTACATAATCACACGTTTTCACCTTTATCTCTCCGACTGTAGTTTTAATTTGTATATCTTTTATTTAGAGTAATTAGTACTTTTAAATGTTTAAAATCGATTTTCATTTATTGTGTTCTTTTAATAAACTCTCTGGAAATGCCCATTTTTTTGGATTGTGATTCTTTTTCATATTGATTCATAGAAGTTCTTTATATATAAATACATGAGGTTTTCTCATTTAAAATAAAGATGATGTTAAATGTAGGACTAAATGTGATTTAGTGTCTATAACTAGGGATGGCTCTTCATATGAGCAAATTTGCAAATCAGAAAACAGTTCAGGGGCTGGCCCTGTGGCTGAGTGGTTAAGTTCACACTCTGCCTCAGTTCACTGGTTCAGATCCTGGGCAGGGACCTACACACCACTCAACAAGCCATGCTGTGGCAGCATCCCACATAGAAGAACTAGAATAACTTACAACTACATATACAACTATGTACTGGGGCTTTGGGAAGAAAAAAAAGAGGAAAATTGGCAACAGGTGTTAGCCTAGGGCCAATCTTCCTCACAAAAAAGAAAGAAAGAAAATTCATTCTTAGAGCATGTTTCCAGATTTTTTTATTTGGAAAATATGGTCATTAAAAAAAATTTTAAAGTTATTTACAAAACTATGCCACCCATTATGGCATTACATATTTTTACAGTAAATTAAGGTGAATTTATAATATTTTTTATGGTTTGTAAAACTATAAAATTAAGGAAACAAAATATTTTCATAGTTTATAAAAGTAATAAATACATACTTATCTGTTTAAAAAGTCCGATATACATAAGTTAAAAAGTACGAGTGCCCTCTCTTCCTACCGGGGCAACGCCACTGTTAAAAAGTTTGCTGTGTATTCCTTCTAACTTCTTTCTACACACTGACAATATATGTTTACATAGTAATTTCCCCAAAAAGGAGACACTACATGCTCTTCTGCAACTTGCTTTTCTTCAGTTAAGGATTAATCCCGAATGTCAAGAACAGCAGCCTTTGCAATTCGGTTTTTTCACTCTGTAAGCTGACAGTACCTCACCATGGACCACAGCAGGACCTGCTCGTGGCTTCCTCTGGCAATAACCCAGCCTCGAGTCTTGCGCGAGGATGGAAAAGGCCTTTGGAAACATCACGGAGCGCACTGTGTGCAGCGTGGTTCTCCTGCCGCTTCAATGTCTGCACCTGGGGGACGTCTCACACAAGTACCGAGGGGCTTAGACCCAGCGGGGCTGAGGATAACCACAAAGAGGGAGGTTAGAATTGAGGCCGTCACGAGCCAGCACCTCAAACTCCTGAGTTTCAAATGATTTCGCTTCTCTCCTCATTTGTTAAGATTTTTTTAAAGATGCACCTTGAGGCATAAATCCTTGGGATTAGGAAGGAGAAGGAACGGGGTCAAAATGGTGAGTGCACAGGAGTGGGGTGGAAGGGGCCGCACCCCATCTCTTGAGTCGTGGGTTCTTCAGGTCCACGTTCTGGAGCAGCCTGACTCCCCCTTGAGCCTGCATCAGGGCAGGCCCACTCTCCCAGGTGGATCTGATGTCCAGACACGTCCAAGGACTCAGTCTTGCCTTCCTGGGGCACCCTTCCAGCGGTGCCCTACAGACAGGGGGTGCTCTGGAGCCCAGGTGGAGGGGGCGCTTCAGGGTTGTCCTGCAGGCTGAGAAGTTTGCATTATACAAACGAGCCCAGTTCGGGAGGCCTCCACTCATCAAGCCTTGTGTCCTGGCTGGGCTGTACCTCTCCAGAGAAAGGGGCCCTTTTTCCTCCCGACAGAGGCACTTTCTACTCAGCCAAGCCCCTGGGGGCCACATCTGCCTAAGGGGGCTTCTTTCAAGTTAGCCCAAAGGCACCGTGCAGACTCTCCAGGCCCTGGCAATGCTGCCTGGCACAGCTGCAGGAGGCTCCAGATGGGTCTGCCCTGGGGAGTCCTGACCCAGGGGGTCGGGGCCTTCCCAGCATCCCTTGAGGCCACCCTCAAGCAGCCCTCCTAGGCTTGGGAACAAGTTGAGTTCTGGGAGGGTGGCTGGGGAGCAGTTTTCTTGAATAGAATCCATCCTGTGTTCATTCAACAAATATTTGAGGCTCTACCATATGCCAAGGCCTGTTCTAGCTCTGGAAATAGGCAGAACAGGACAAAGTCCTGTCTTTGTGGAGCTGGCATCCTAGTGGGGAAGCCAGACAGGGAACAAGTAAAATAAGTAAACAAGACCGTTTTCCAGAGAGTGCTATGAGGAAAATGAAAGGCACAATGGCCTAGGGAGTGAGGGGGAGGGGTGCCAGGGTGCAACCCGGACCTAAGAGGAACCTCCTGGGGAAGGTGAGACTCGAATGACAGGAAGGAAGGAGTCGTGCCAGCCTCTGGGAGGGCCACTCCAGGGAGCAAAGCCAGGAGCAGAGCGCAGCGCCCTGAGGCTGGGAGATGCTGGCGTGCCCAAGCACATGGTGGGGAGCAAGAGGGGAGTCGAGAGGCGTCTGAGGTGTAAGGAGAAGTGAGGCCAGACGAGGCAGGGCCTCGCAGCCAGGCTGGGACCCCGTGCACCTTCTTCCACATGCAGTGGGTGGTCTCGGAGGTCAAAGCAGGTGAGGGATGCGACCCCAGCGCGTGTTTAAAGGGTAACTCAGGCTGCTTTGTGGGGAGAGCTGGGGGACAAGGAGGCCAGGAGGACAGCAGCCAGACCAGGTAGAGGCTGCTGCACTGGTCCAGGTGAGAGAGCGAGGCGGGTGGAAGCAGGACGTCTGTGGTGAGATGCACTGGGGATGCTGGCTGACGTGTCCTCCAACGGAAGCAAGGCCTGGGCCTCCAAACAAGGCCGGAAGCAGTGGTGTCACGGCTCTCCTGCGTGCACTGAATGAGTGCTGGCCCCGCCAGGGCATTGAGATCCTACCTGGTGGCCGCCCCCACCCCCCCGTACCACCCTTAGACTCAGGGACTGACTAGGGCCCCCGAGCTGGGCCCCGCCTTAAAGGGCCCCATTCATGCCCTCCTCTGGCTGCTCCCTTCTCTTGTGGTGAGGAGCTTACTGGGCGAAGGAAGTTCCTGTCCAAACAGCCCAGAGCCTGCTGCCTGAGCCGCTTCACCAGGCCCTGGGCAGTGTGCATGCCCTCGGTCCAAGGGGCTACAGGAGGGGGGCAATTTTTAGGGGGTATGGGCAGCGTTTGAGCCCTGTGCTGGGAATTTACACACACCTGCCTAAGGACCCTTCTGGTGGGGGATGGCACAAGGGGTGGGAAGAGAAGGGGGTGGCTTCTTCCTGGTGCCACCATCTTCCAGAGTCAAATTCTACATTCAAATCTGGCCTTCTAGGACATGACAAAAACATATTTGTCAAAGCAGGAAGGTAGAACATGTTTTATCTAACAGTTTCTCCATTTGATTGATAATGTTTAATATTTAAACAGATGGTATGGGGGCTGCCATTTGTATTCTTGTTCCAGATTCCACAGAAATGTGGGGCGGGCCTGCCCACATCCACTGCTTGCTTTCTGCAGTGCTCCCGAAACGCTGGAGGGCAGTTGTGG